TACGAATAGACATTTAGAATTTTGATTTCACCATTTTTACCGTATTAGATTTAGATTATTTAGATCTTTGGTATATAATTGTAAATTTGTGTTTGTATGGAAAACGAGACATGAGTGTATCATGGACCTGGCCGGTGCCTGGCGTTGCCGGCGTAAGGCGTGAGTATTCTCGTTCAATTTCTCTCTCTGGCTTTAGTTGATAAGTCTATGGCTGGCTGGAGGGCGTTTTGCGAGGATTTGTCAATGTTCTGTCGGTTTGTCACTTGACAAGTTTTCATATTTTTGACTGCTTGAGAGATAATCAAGGTATTCTTAAAACTATATTCTCTTCCAACAATATATTTGACTAAATATTTTTCAACATTTACACTGATGTTTAAAATTTCACAACTTTTGTAAAACGATTTTAAGTAAAAGTTGTTAGTACCAATATTTCGTGTATCATTTAGTTAACATTCTGAAATACTGTTTTCAGTGCTGTTAAAATTGACAGAATTTGTTAGTACTCTGTATTGTTTAACCTTAGAACATATGTAAAACGTATTACATACATATACATATGTATATTCTGATCATTGATCCAATCCATGGTTTGCTATATTGAACCCTTATTTAATTTTCCCGTATACTACTGGGTATTTGCAGTGTGTTAATATCTCCTTTTCAGAGCTATCAGCAATTTAATTTTGGAAGACTTTTAAAAGTGTACAATGACAGATTCAAAGTATTTCACTACTACCAAGAAAGGAGAGATATTTGAACTCAAATCAGAATTAAACAATGATAAGAAAGAGAAAAAGAAAGAAGCTGTGAAGAAGGTGAGTTACCTAATTTTTGCAATATTTTCAATTTGTTCAAAATGTATGTAAGTAATGTAATATAAATTTAATCATTATTGGCATTCATTAAAGTGTATCATTTTTAAACATTGAATAAAAAGGTCTTTTCATGCTGCACGAGAGAAGGATAAGTAAAAGCATTTGAAAATAAATTTTATTATGCACTTTCATTATACTTTAGACATCTGCTTTTATTAATAAATGTTTATTCAAACCTTGTTATTACATTTTCCATTGAATACTTAATGGGCGCTATTGTATTAACGGCTTTTCACGTTAAATTCACGAATATTCTCCTGGTGGAACGTCTGAATGGTAATTGCTGAAACATGTTTAATAAACAAATTTATTATGTATAGGTGATTGCTTCCATGACGGTGGGCAAGGACGTATCTGCACTCTTCCCTGACGTGGTTAACTGCATGCAGACGGACAATTTGGAACTCAAAAAGCTGGTGTATCTGTATCTGATGAATTATGCCAAAAGCCAACCAGACATGGCCATCATGGCTGTCAACACGTTTGTTAAGGTAATGTAGCTTTAGAAACTTAACAAATAACTTACCATGTTTTATCAATGCACTTTTACCCTCTATATATTTTAACGACACTTGGATGATGTTGAGAGTCTCTGTCTGCAAAGAGGCAAGCTGGAAAACTGAGTTCACATTACGCGTATCTTTCCTTTCAAACCAATTAACTTTCAAATAAATCTAACATTAATTTTACAGCCTGCCTCACATCATGTACAGACCGTGCTTTGCAAATTACATCAGTTTGCACAGAGCTGTCTGCGTTATGGGATGGAATGTACTATTTATTTTTCCTAATGAACTGCTTATTTTTCAAAGGGCACGAGACTGGAATTTGGTTGAATTAAATACACATAAAACGCTTACACTAATATATCGCAAATTAGATAAAAATATGTAAAACCCATGTTATTATTTTTTTTCTGCATTTATTAGCACCAAATTCCAGTACTTTTCTCCAGTTGAGCATCAAGAAAGGGAATGGAATACTAACGGTTGTAATATTTAGCAAAATTAATGAAAGGTACACCCGGAGGGGGCTCAATTATACATGTATTAATTTTTTTTTTTATATTAATGCACTGGTATAATTTGTGCTGGTTTTCAAAATCAAGCATGAAACTCTTTGTATAAGTCACAAAAATGTGGTTTACATTTAAACAGCTTACGAAAGCTTGTATATTAACATGGCTATATATATATTTATATAAGGAACATATATTGGCCTTACGAGGGAATTGTGTGTAAAACAGGCATCAGTGGTAGAATAAAAAAGTTTCTTTTCAGTCATAATGTCTAATGTGTAAACGCATGAACGAACCGATTCCTTAAGCGTCCATTTTATATGTATGACTGCATTATAAATTGCTGCTTGTATGCAGTGCATATATATATATATATATTTACACACTCTGCACGCAAAGTGTTTTACTTTTTACCGAACTTCAGTGTTGATTAATAAATGTAATGAGTGTTCAAATGAATATTTCGTAACGCAATTATAAACACTTCGATGTACATTTTTAATGTTTGAATATCATGTGACATACTATTATGTGCATGACACCAAACTTAATGTGATAGTTATGATTTAATCCTATTCTGTAAATAAAACTATAGAAGAATAATAAATCAATAGCAAAAACATCTTAAGATTGATATCTCGTGCTCTTTAAAAAATGATCAGTTCTGAATCACATTAACATTAAATGGTTGATAAATATAATATTTAACAATTAATCAAAATGGTGACGGTGACCAATTTGACCTTTTTCGTTCTGACACGCAAAAGGAGCTAGCGACTTCTCCGATGGCAAAGGTACCATACCACTTTCTACTTCGTTAAAATTCATGGGTTGAGATAGATAGCCACTGCTGTGACTAGACTTGAATCCCTGGCTTGCCCGATTTTTGCGCAGGATTGCGATGATCCGAACCCGCTGATTCGAGCATTAGCAGTTCGCACAATGGGTTGCATACGGGTGGACAAGATCACTGAGTACCTCTGTGAACCACTGCGAAAGTGTCTGAAGGATGACGATCCGTATGTTCGTAAAACCGCAGCTGTTTGTGTGGCCAAGCTTTATGATATTAATGCATCGTTAGTGGAAGACCAAGGGTTTCTGGATCAGTTGAAAGACCTCCTATCAGATAGTAATCCCATGGTAAATAACGTAAATTATCATTTAACATATACATAGGAAGATTGTACGTTCTTCATGATTTCATTTCGTTCTTAGGTTGTCGCAAATGCTGTAGCTGCTTTATCTGAGATCAACGAAGCGAGTCCCAGCGGGCAGCCTCTGGTTGAAATGAACGCACAGACTATTAATAAATTATTAACAGCACTGAACGAATGTACGGAGTGGGGTCAAGTTTTCATTTTGGATTCTCTTGCAAATTATTCACCGAAAGATGATCGTGAAGCACAAAGTATATGCGAGCGTATTACTCCGCGCTTGGCGCATGCCAATGCCGCCGTCGTTCTGTCGGCTGTTAAGGTTCCTATTCATTAGAAATTTGTAATCGCGATTATACTTAAAATTTAATTCAGCCTTTAAAACTGATTTTCTACTTACACAGGTACTAATGAAGTTGATGGAAATGTTACACTCGGAATCTGATTTTGTCGGTACATTAACGAAAAAGCTAGCTCCGCCTCTGGTAACTTTGCTTAGCTCTGAACCTGAGGTGCAATACGTGGCATTACGAAACATAAATCTTATTGTTCAAAAACGTCCGGATATTTTGAAACATGAGATGAAAGTTTTCTTCGTTAAATATAACGATCCTATTTATGTCAAACTCGAAAAATTGGATATTATGATTCGTTTGGCGTCTCAAGCGAATATATCACAAGTATTGTCTGAACTAAAAGAATATGCGACGGAAGTTGACGTAGATTTTGTAAGAAAAGCTGTAAGAGCTATTGGCCGTTGTGCCATTAAAGTCGAGCCCTCTGCCGAAAGATGCGTTTCGACTCTCTTAGATCTTATTCAAACAAAGGTATGTGATTCGAAATACGCATGCAAGATTAATTATGTCTTTAAACTATTCTTTTTCTATATATTTAGGTCAATTACGTCGTGCAAGAGGCAATCGTTGTCATAAAAGATATCTTCCGAAAGTACCCGAACAAATATGAAAGTATCATTTCCACACTTTGTGAGAATTTGGACACCCTCGATGAACCTGAAGCTCGCGCATCTATGATATGGATTATCGGAGAATACGCAGAACGTATTGACAATGCAGACGAATTACTCGAAAGTTTCCTAGAAGGGTTCCACGATGAGAATACACAAGTTCAGTTACAATTGCTCACTGCAATTGTTAAACTGTTTCTGAAGAGGCCCACGGATACTCAAGAATTGGTCCAACAAGTTCTCAGTCTAGCTACGCAAGATTCTGATAATCCCGATCTTCGAGACCGTGGATTTATTTACTGGCGATTGCTTAGTACGGATCCAGCGGCTGCAAAAGAGGTCGTCCTCGCTGAGAAACCTCTTATCTCGGAAGAAACGGACTTGTTAGAACCAACATTATTGGATGAACTGATATGCCATATTTCGAGTTTAGCATCTGTATATCACAAACCACCAACTGCTTTCGTTGAAGGTAGAGCAGCAGGCGCTAGAAAATCGTTACCTGCTAGAAGTAATTCGAACGAAGATTCAACCCAACACGCTGCGCAACCTCATGCTCAAGTTATTCCTGCTCAAGATTCCTTAATCGGCGATCTCCTTAGCATGGATATAGGTAAGCAGAAGTTCTATCATTTATCAATACATATGTATTTTCAACGTATGCATATTGTAAATCTTATTAATCATTATTATATAGGTGGTCCGGCCATGGTTCCTCCAGCACCAGCACCCCAATCGGCATTAGGTATAGATCTGTTAGCAGGTTTAGATGGGATCTTGGGTGGACCTGACACTGGAAATAGTGCACCTGTTGTGTCTCAAAGCACTACTGGACTTCTGGGTGATATATTTGGTTTCAATCAAGGACCCACGTCTTACGTATCGCCCAAAGTTAATTGGCTGCCTGCAGAGAAGGGTAAAGGATTTGATATATGGGGAACGTTCTCGAGGAAGTAAGTAATACAAGTACTATAAGCAATTTTGTAAATACGAGTAATGTAACTTCGTATGTACAACACATTTACATATTCTGTGTTAGAAATGGGCAAATCAGTATGGATATGACATTTACTAATAAAGCAATGCAACCCATGGGTGGCTTCGCGATACAATTAAACAAAAACAGTTTCGGTTTAACACCGGCTGCACCGTTGCAAGTACCAACTCCTTTAAATCCTGGTGCTAGCATAGAAACCAGTCTGAGCTTATCCACTGGTGGTGCAGTCCAACGGATGGAACCTCTGAACAACCTTCAAGTTGCAATAAAGAATAATATCGACATATTTTATTTTGCCTGTCTTGTTCCGATGAACGTGTACTTTTCAGAGGATGGGCAACTAGATAAGAGAGTATTTCTTAGTACGTGGAAGGATATACCTGCTCAGAACGAGGTATAGTTTACGGTTCTCCTACATCAGCATTATTAGTGTGAATTTAAGGAACATTATATTAGTAATAAAATTGTTTTAGGTGCAGGACACGTTGAAAGGAGTAATGTTGAGTGCAGATCAAATTGTTCAAAAAATGCAACAGAATAATGTATTCACAATCGCTAAACGAAACGTGGAAGGGCAAGATATGTTATATCAATCACTTAAGTTAATAAATAATGTATGGGTATTGAATGAATTAAAAATTCAACCTGGAAATCCTGATGTCACCGTGAGTTACGACTTTTGATTGAAATTTGTAACATATTCTTTGGATACTATACTCATTAGTACATTTTGATTACAGCTGTCTTTGAAATCACGTTCAGTGGAAGTTGCGCCAGGCGTATTCCAAGCGTACAATGCGATCTTACATTCTTAAGTAGCTAATTCAACCCAACCGACATTAAGTTTACGCAACGTTTCGCGCCTTAATCCGACAGTTTGTTCGTATAAATCATTTATATGTATCAGTAGCGCGTATATAAATCATTTATATGTATTATCCAGTCGGATATTATTGACTACGTTTATCTGTATTTTATGATAAACATACTGAATTTAATATACAGTTAAATTTATTATAAGGAAAATGAGTGTAACGTCGAAATAAAAATCAATTATGTTAAATATTGATGTTTTTATTTTCCTATATAATTTATTGATATTATTGGCTCTCGTAAAGAATAAAAACAGGATTTAATTAAGTAAAAGAAGTTATATAATACTCCTGTTTATTTATTGGATATAAAGAGGAAGGTATACATTAATTGTTGTTACATTAGCATTGGACCTTCTTCCTAAATGAACAACCTTCTGTTAATCTAGCTTTGCCACCTGTAGATGTGCACAGTTTTGTGTGACATCCATCGCAGTCCACTGATCTTTGAGCGTGTGAAAAAATGGTTTTGATGGCGTAGCATCCTGGGCATTTCACATCCATGAAGTAACTGTTTGGTCTTTGTACGAGCCTTTTTAACTTGTGTTTCCTTTTCTCCTCAGCCGGACTTGGATGAAGAAAATCTTTAGCAAGGGGCATTCTACGAATGAAAAAGATCAAATTACTACAAAATCTGAAACAATTTTGACTGTTATCAATGGACGAATAAAATCAATTACTAGAAGTGGAATATTAAAACTTAACATTTTTCACGATATGATGCAATCAGTTATTGGCACGTTTTATGTAACTAAATTTACATTTAGTTTCTCCTACAATACGATTGAAAATACGATGATCAGAGTATTGTCGTGAAGCAATGCAACTATAAGTTCACTTCCTTTTTGAGCGGTGGAGTTAAAGTTAAATAGCGAAACAGGATAATAGTCATGCTATTTGTTTTGGAACTATTTGACATTTCAATATTGCGTATATAATATTTGTCATTTTACAATAATTCATTATTATCATTTGAATTCAATGTTAAATAAGTAATTACGACGTCCAATAAAAAGTAAAACATATTACTTCCCTTATGTGTAAATAGCAAGTGTAATACCTGTTCTGGAATTGTCTAGCAACAATTCCTCGGCATATTTACGGAATTTTATTGTATTTTTTGGTAATCGCAAAATTCAAACGCAGTTATAAGGACGTAAATACATACGTAAGATGTTTGTCATAAAATAAAATGTAAAATATATTCTGCAAACGTGAAAAATTATAATAAAACGTTATTGATGCAGTTTGGTGGTAACACGAGCAAGTGTTGATGTGACAAAAGTTGGTAAGAGTAATGTGCTTTTTTTACATGGACATGAAGTACACAATTTAATGTTCATTTTAATATATTTACTTACGTGATTTCGCTTGTCTTTTACTTCGAATTCAATAATCACAATCTCTGCCACGTGCTTCTGCAGCAACGTTATTAACTGGAAAGGACCAGAAAGGACCACGAACAGGCTGCATTTAGACGAACAAACTCCCTACTACGTTGCCAACTAATCAAACCGACATTGCTTGATCACCGCAGGAATGAAAAACATCATCTATATATTTATAAATATTATATATGTTAAGACGTACGAATTAAATAAATGAAAATTTACATTTTGCTACGGAATAAAGATAAATTTGTATTTTAAATTGGTTATACTCATTCCTATAAATAAGAAATATACATATATGTGTGTAGTTGAAATGTTCCATTTATGTCACAGACGTTTATTTAAGTTTATATTGCATATCTAAAAATATTTGATCTTTATAAATCAATCAGGTTTTGTAATCAATGATAAATATAATATTAAGAACGACAGTCCGTCTAATATGTATATAATTTCAGCCTCCAAACTTCATAACTTGTGAATCATAAGCCATTTTGTGCTTTGTGCATTGTTCAAGTAGCTGTGTAAAAGTATTGCTTATCATTTCATTTTGAGATGTCAAAAGTTGGTTGATTGGTACTATCGAATGCATGCGCAGCTTGACGCGACCGTATGATTATTGTGATACGACTGTTACGAAGATTTGTCATAGACGCAGTTGATAAATCACAGACAGATTTTGTGTGACAAAGAACTTTCCAATACCTTTTACTAACCTTGGCCTGGTCGTCATAATAGTGAGTATCGTCTTCAGAGAAAGTTAAAAATAGTACGTTTTAGCGAAAAGTCTGTCTACGCGTATAAAATAGTTTTACAAAGTTAGATATTTCCTATCCTACGCAGCGTATAAAATTTCATAACGTAACGTCTACATTTTATCGCTCACGGAATTACAACGACTTAACCAGTTTTCAGATTTAGATATTTCGTTTGATATGATTATAAGATTTGACGTGCAGTTGATAATGTTTTGTAATTGAAGTAAGAGAACAGCCTTGTACTGTGCATTGAAATTTCATTGTCTGTAAACTTTTGGTAACCTATTATTTTCAGATTATGATTGAATAAAAATGAGAGAATTATGCGAAGTAGTGAAGTTGTATCAAATCACATAACATATATGGGCTAAGATACCTAAACTATTAAATTTCGATCAATGAATTCGGTATACTTAAATGTTGATACGTCAGGTTGGTTAACAATGTAGACATTATTACACAATGCATCTACCCTCCACTGGTACGTTACACAAGGAATTGTGTTGATCAAACGTGTGTATTGTTGTGGTTAGTATACTTATCAAATATGTTTTTCTATAAAATAGACTTGTATATAGATTACCATAGAATGTAATGTCGTTGTAATTATGTCATTTTAATTTTTGCTTTGTCATCATATACATTTATAAATTAGTAATGTATACAAAATTTTATAGATCTTTTAACTAAATAAAATTTGACTTTAAGCAATTATGTATTGATCTTGTAAAATTAATAAAAACTTCAAAGTTGAATACGCAAGCTTTGTAAACATTAATTTGTAATACTTATCGTTTCAGTGCACTTTCTTCTGGCAATTTAGTTTTATAACAATGAGTGAGGAAAGCGTACAAAACCAGTCGCATGAAGTTGTCGAAAGCATGGATGCATCGCCGACTTTGCCTCCTTATAATTTTAGCCATTCGTGTGTAAACACATGGACGGAGAAAATGAACAAGGGAATATTGTCTTGTACCCATTTCAAAGATCATTGGCGAATCTGGGTTCCAAAAATATATACTCCAGAACCAAATAGCAACTGTCTTGATTGGGTTTTCGATGAGGAAACAGCACAAAAAGTACTTTTTAATACTTTAGAAGAATTTATTTGTAATGGAGATCCAAAGGTTGTACTAAAAGAATTAAGTCAAATGGATAATGTGATATGCGGCAGAGTGTTCAAAATGGGTGAGGCTACGTATAGTTGCAAGGAATGTGGCGTGGACTCGACCTGTGTCCTGTGCGCAGACTGTTTCAAGCAATCTGTTCATCGGAATCATAAATACAGAATGGGCACTTCCAGTGGTGGAGGATTTTGTGATTGCGGAGACACAGAGGCTTGGAAGAAAGAGCCATTTTGTAATGCACATTTAGTAGGAATTCAAGTTAAAGAAGATCACGGAAATAAATTACCTGGAGATATAGCAGAAAGAGCAGTAGTAGTTTTTGAGACGGTACTAAGATATTGCCATACAATGTTGTCTTTAGAGCATACATTAGGATTGCCTCCTGACTTATGTTTCAACAACACAGAGGATGACGATTCTTTATCGTCGTTATTACCTTCGGATGATTATTGTACAGTTCTTTTTAACGATGAGACTCACACGTTTGATCAAGTGATCAGCACACTTATACGTGTTATGAATTGCACGCAGAGAGACGCGCTAGAATTCGTGACAAATGTTGATAGAGATGGTAGAGCCGTTGTGAAATGCGCGAACTTTCAACAGTGTAAGAACTTACAGAATGAGATTGAAAAATATACTACAAGACACAGTAATAGCAATCGACCGTTGAAAGTGCTTGTAGTTCACGCTCATGTAATTGCTCATCAGATATTCGCCATGAAACTTTTGCACTGGCTGCAACAGCTTATAACTCCCTGTGAAGGTTTCAGAGTGCTTTTCAGTAATGTAGCGCTCAACACAAAATTACCAGTCATTTCAATTGTAGAAGGTATACTTATGAACGATTCTCAACTATGGAAATCGGCGAGAACTGCGTGGCACAGATTATTAATGTCTGGGATGCTTATGGAATATGAGAGCAAGAAGGCCTTAGCGATCGTTTTTACGCGTGGCTACGGTTCAATTATGAAAGATTACATAAGAGACGATCACGATCATTCGTTTTCTATAGTGTCTTTCTCTGTACAGTTGTTCACCGTCCCGACATTGGCGCATCACCTTATTGCTCATCATGACGTATTGTTCATCTTATTGAACGCGTTTATCTCAGAAAGTTCACGAAGATGTAACGCTGCAGGAAAGTTGGAATTTGAAAGAGAAACGCCCAACCATACGTTTAAAAGAGCTCTGTTCGTCCTTCAAGATTTGAGATACTTGTTAAGCTCTAAACCAGATGTTTGGACCGACGACTTGAGAAAGAGCTTTTTGCAAGGACTTTCACTTTTACTAACATTACTCAGTAGCATGCAGTGTATGGATTCTGTGGTCAGACAAGTTGGTCAGCACATGGAATACGAACCTGAATGGGAATCTGCGTTCAATTTACACATTAGACTGTCTCCGGTGATTAGTCTCGCTCTACAATGGTGTGGTTCAGATCAAATTGTTTTAATAAGGGCTTTTCGATTGGTCTTGAGAAAGCTGCACGAGCAGCCAGGGCATGAGATTGGTCCACCTCAAGTAAGGGAACTAGCGGACCATAGCGCGACGTGCATTGATTACGATGTATCATCTGAACCAGTGTCTGTGCATCTTCCACTTTCTAGATTTTTGGCAGGTCTCTTCTCATACTTAGAGGTGCACAATTTGCATTTCCAGTGCGCAGAATTTATCAACTATGCAAAGCCAACGTTGGAACAGATTATAGAGCCGGTGTTGGCCACTCAAGTAATGATCGCGCAAGTACACAGCGGTATGTGGAAAAGAAACGGATATTCTTTGTTAAATCAATTATATTTCTATCATAACGTTAAATGTCGTTCGGAGATGTTGGACAGAGACATTATTTTGCTGCAAGCTGGAGCATCTTTGATAGAATGTAACGAATTTTTGATCCATGTTTTAAATAAATTTAATTTACTACAATGGGCCAGTCCAGACTTTGATGTGAACGCTGTCAAATACCTCGAGGATGACAGTATTAGACAAACTTTAGTCGAAGAGTTTCTGGGACTGCTTATAACGATAATAGGAGAAAGATACGTAGTTGGAGTTGGACAAGTTACTACCGATGATATTTTAAAGAAGGAAATTATTCAGCAATTATGCGTCAAACCCCTGTCTCATTCGGAGCTCAGTAAAACATTGTCGGACGACATGTTCATAGAAACTGAAATGGAAAGAGTAATACAAGACATCGCAGACTTTAAAAAACCTTCGCAATCGTCCGGCGGAAAAGGAGTGTACGAATTAAAGCCTCACTTATACTGTGAATATAACGTATTCTTTTATCACTATACAAAAGAAGAAGTAAGTAATTCTGAGGAGACACAACGAAAACGAAGAAAAGCTTTGGGAGAGTTAGAATGTTGTCCACCCCCGAAGCTTCCGAAGTTAACAGAGGGTTTTAGTTTGGTAACTAATTTACTTCAGTGTGACGTTATGCTGCATATTATGCAAATCGTATTGGAGAGGGCTCTCAACTGTAAGCCACGCAGATTTTCAGAATCCCAAGTACATAAAATTCTACATCTCATCGGATACGCTATTCAAGAACAGGAGTCCGGTTACTATCCATTTTTTGCTTTCACAACAAGAGCTGCCAAATGGAAAATCTATACATTGTTAGAAGATTTATCTAGTAGTCCGCGTATAGAAGCTCATAAAGATTTATTAACTTGGGTTCTAACGAAATACCGGGAAGTAGCTGGTAATACTGTAGTGGATACCAACACGATGCCCGCTGCCCCGCGTACCGGAGAGAGTGCCGGAAATGAAAATGCTGAGACTGATAAAGAATGGAGAACGAAAATGGCAGCGGAGAAACGTGCAAAAATAATGGCGCAAATGGCTGCAATGCAAAAACATTTTATGAAGAAGAACGCTGAGCTGTTCGAAGAAGCTACTTTAGATGTTAACAAGTCGAACGATCAAGACCCTAATATGGATTCGAAGAAATGTCCTCAGAAACCGGTTGCTCTTGGTATCGGACAAACGTTGAGAAGATCCGGGGAAGAAACTTATAAAACTTGTATTTTGTGCCAGGAGGATCAAATTGTAACAGTGACCGGTCCTGCAATGGTATTAGCTGCGTTTGTTCAACAATCCACAGTACTGTGTCAACATAGGGCTAATACCGATGAACCTGACCCGTTATATTTATCTGCGAAACTTGGTGCATCGCCGCATACTGGTACTTGCGGTCATGTGATGCATGTACACTGTTGGCAACAATATTTTAGTAACGTACTCGCAAAAGAGAACAGGAGACCGTTTCGTCTACGTCAACCGGCCAGTTTCGACGTGGAGAAACAAGAGTACCTTTGTCCGCTCTGCGAGTGTCTCAGTAACACCGTTTTACTACTTCTACCACCTCTAAAAACCTTACAACCGACACCGCCAACTCAGCCCGACATTGATTTTAGCACATGGTTGGTAGCTTTAAGAATCGCGATGCAAGTTAAACACGGATTGAGTCCAAATTTACAAACTCCTAAAACCACAAAGGGTGAACATGATCCGACGTGTTGTTACTGCACGAGGTCAATCCCGTGTCCTATGAAAGCAATACGTAACGAACTCGGAAACGTTGAATGTGCTTTTCAGTTAATTTACAGTCAACACGGTCCGTCTCTTTCGAGAAATTTAATGTCGACGATTGAACTTTTTGCACAAGCAGCGTTCGCAAAGGAATTCGGCAATGAATCTTACGAAGATGATGACAGAGTCCCGTTGTTAGTATGGAAATCAACAGCGTATAGTATCCATGCTATCGAATGTCTTCTGCGCGATATGGAGAAACCTTTATTGGGAGCATTGTCATCTAGGCAAAGGGACAGTTTGGAAGGTCTCGCTAGAATTTCAGCTGTCTTGGGATCTAAATGTCCGTTGCATATTGATCCGTTACACACGACTTGGGCTGATAAGGACAGTTTTAAAAACAACGCCCTTTCTCTTTTGACGTTATTGCTGCAAAATCCACACGAAGGGTCAAGCGTATTAGATTGGGATTCATTTGGAGTACTTGTTCCTTTAATCAATTCACTCCCAGGGCTACTTTGTACAGGTTTACACGTGCCAATTATTACAGGCGGAGTTTTCGAATATTATGCCTTGCTGCTTGTATTTATATCTCTTATAGTGAAAATACTGTTAACAACAGATTTCAACGAAGAGATGGATGTAGATAGTCAAGAAACAGTCGAAGATACATTCTCAGAAACCATCTTAACGCTGGTTCATGCACTGAACATTAATACTGGTTCTCAGAGTCCACTCAATATATGGAGACGAATTACGAAAGCTTCGCTACCTTTTCTTAGATGTTGTGCTCTCTATTTTCATTATATATCTGATGTTCCAGCACCAGAGGAACTGACTAAAGTCGATGGAGCGACATACGAAAATATCTGCTCATATTTGGGATTACCCACGACATGTGATGAATTAATCTGGCCACATTTAGATGTAATTTTAAAATTAATAAACATTTGGAAAAGCCATCCGACGGTTCAAATGCACCTGTCTGGTACTGGTACAGTTACGATAATAAAAGAACCGTTGAAAGTGAATGAACTAGTGAAGCTTCCGGATGATTATAGCGAATTGATAAATATGATATCGTCGTTCACGTGTCCAAACAGCATTCGGGAAGATTCAAGAACACCGACGCTCTGCCTTGTATGTGGCGAGATGTTATGCTCGCAAAGCTACTGTTGCCAGTTCGATATGAATGATTCGCTGGTCGGGGCTTGCACGTATCATGCGAGCAAGTGCGGAGCTGGCGTAGGATTATTCTTACGGATACGAGAATGCGAAATTCTTCTCTTGAGAACATCGAATCGAGGAGCTTTCGCGTGTCCACCTTATCTCGATGAGTACGGAGAAACGGATCAGGGTCTAAGAAGAGGAAACCCGCTTCGGATATGTTACGATAGGTACAAGCAGTTGAATCAAATGTGGTTGGGACATGGACTATACGAATCCATATCAAGGGCAATCGAATCTTCAAGTAATCCTACATCGATGCGATGGCATCATCTATAACATCCTAGGATTTTCTATGCAATCTAGCCGGGACATTTAGTCACGAATACAAAATCTGTATTTAGATCTGTGAGCGATCATAACAGCAAATACTATGATTGTTAATAATCATTCGTTCGATCATCCCGTGGATCTGATGAAATTATTTATTTTGAGAATACAGCGTGGATGGCTTTGTATATTTAAAATGATTGGATGTTATCCTCGTTGCGATGTCCTTTTAGATTATTTCAGAGTTTACGGAATTTTCTATTATCCATTATGTAAATTAAATATAAATTTCTTTATAACTATTGACATAATGTTGTATGGACATTGTTGCTTGTAGAAATTAGTTTGTAAAGTCATTCGAATAATTGTCACATTGTTTACTAAATTTTAGAACCGTGTGAATATATAATTCAAGTTGCATAAATAGGAAACTGTTTCTGTACCAATTGTTTTAAGATATCCTTAGTAACAAACATTTTGTTCTCATCATCTCACATCATTCATACCATAAATTGTTACAAGTTTAAAAATATTAAATTACTTATATATAAATTTCAAGTTGTAAGTTATAAAGATAATTTTGCAGTTATGAAATATGAAATATTTCATTTTGGAATTTCCTATACAGTGCAATGTGTTATAATACGTAGATAACTGTTGAAACATCATAAGATACTGAAATTAATTTAAAAAATTCAAATAAATAATGTGACATAATATTTGTTTTATCATCATTGCTAGTCTTTTAGTTTAATATATTTGGTGTAATAAAATATGTAATTTAATCATTTCTATTTCTTGCATAATATTAACATCGTTACATCAATAACATTAATTTCTCGCTTTACCTAATATTGCTATGTATTAACTCGTATACTGTACAGTTAATTAAAATAGACTTATTTATGTATAGTTTTATAACAACTGAAAGGATATTATGTAAATATTAATTATATTCCTGATTACAATTTAACAAGTTAACATATACAGAAATATTTTTAATTTTCCTTATACGCGCGAGATAAGCTTTAATGAATATACTTGTTTTTGTGAAAGAATGAAACGTACTTTGTTCCGATGACTTTAAACAAAATTATTATTATCAAAAATGTAAGAAGTAATACACTTTATAAATAATTACACGTGCGTGTTCATAATCTCCTAACTCGTGATCATTTTACATTGCATAAAGAAATGGAGGCTTCTTTATATATGCAGCGTGTCAAGTACAAAGGGTGTTTTTTCAAGGGGTGGTTTATATTTCACTGGGTGGGAAGTTGGGTAATAGGATAAGTACAGAATGGAGAGCAGCCTAAGATTTTCAAATCGTTCAGATGGAAAGCCGATTAACAGCTGAATCCTAAACAATCCCTAGAACGATTTTTCAAGAGTAGTCAGCGTCCAACATTGCATGGAATTCGTATAGGAGAAGAAATAGCTGCGACGGCTGCGACTGGCTGCCACAGCCATAGCGGTACGAGAGAAATGCAAGACGTAAGGTCAGGTCAAGAGTTTATATCCCCTCTGCGAGTAAATTAAAATATGATCACTGAGCTGTATAGAGCTCAATGAATAGAACACCGACACCACCCGTTTTGCATCTCTTTCTCGGATCAGCTTCCGTTTTACGGGACACTCCAAGACTCCAAGTCCCGTTAGAATAGAACCAATGACTGTTCCTGAATGATACTTATGATGATACCTGAGATTATGGCCCCACTACCTCTGTCTACGCTTCCGTACAGGGTAAGGAATATAGAGATCAGATCAGTGGTACGGTTCATGATGTAAAAACATAAGGTGTGTTCTTCCGGCGTGTTCAAATGTGTCGCTGTTTGCGCCTTCCACTCATCGGCCATATTGGAAGTACGATGATCTATTGTTTATTTCAAACACGCATATATATTACTCTCCGAGAACCTAATTTTTGACATGTTTACGATTTTTAAATTCGCTCTGTTTTAATATGAAGTGTGATTGGTTAGAAATCCAAAATGGCCAACGAGTGGAAGTGTCCGTGTACAGATGGATGTTCAAATGGATGCGCAAGAACACACCTTATGTTTTTACATCATG